CTCGGCCGGCCCGGTGGCGGCCTGCCTTCTTCTCCGGAGTTTACAATAGCAGAGGCATTATTTCTGGTAGCTTGGTTGATTGCTTTGATTCCTTGGGTGGGAAGCGCAGTGGCTCTGGTGGGATCCCCTCTGGTCAGGTGCAGAGGTTTCGGGAAGGAGGTGGTCTGCCGCCCTTCTCAAAGGCGGCTGTGGGATGCTCTTCCCAAAACTGGAGGGAGCGCGTTGGCCTAAAACTTTGCATCGCTGGGGGATGGCATCAGTGCCATGAGGAGGGGCCCCAGTCTGCTCCGTCTGGCTCCTGGGTTAGGAGCTGGCCTGCAGCACCTCTGAATCTTTAACCATGGAGTAGAGGTGCGGGTGTCTGGCATGACGGTGGGCATGGGGTGCACCAGAGTTTGTATGGACAGGGCTGCCCGCAGCTCCCCTATGCTCCCTCCCATGCTAGCAGGTGGTTTATAACCGTTACTTAGTGTTGCATGAAAAGATCTGAAGACCACCGAGGTAAGTATTTTTAAGCCTTATATGCTTCAGCAGCTTAGATGGCTGAGAGCTGTACACGTGTTCTGTAATCAGCTTGAAATAAAACCAAACTGCACTGAGCTGATCCACTATCAGTGGATGTGAGAGATGATGTTTGTTTAGACAAAAATTCATGCCCTCCTGTGAATTTCTGCATGAATTTGAGCAAGATTTGCTTTGTTTCCTTTTGTGATGAGGACATATAGCAGATGTTAGAAGGGGGAACTTGTTAAATTACATTACAGTATTAAGTACTTTTACCATCATTGTTACGATAGTATCTAAGTCACACAGATCCCTGCTGGTGATGACAAACTGTTGTGGGGATTGTTTGGGTAACCAGGCAAGTTGTCAAAGTCAGGCCAGGCCTGTATGTTAGGAATGTATATTAAAGCCAGGTCCTGTAAATGCTCACCGAGTGTTGAGTCTTGTTGTTAGGGCTTTGCACAGAAACAATGAGACACTTAGGAGTGCCTCTTTGATGTCCTACCTGATTATTTGGAAGCCAGGGTAGTCGAGGGTATCCATAGTTTGTGAACTTAAGTTTTGGGATTTTCATTTATAAATAAATGCTGTTCTTTTTATGGCTTGCTTTGGAACATAGCCAAGAAGAACTATATTGTTTACGTGCGTAGCTTTTTGTGTCTCACACAAAGATGTCTATTGTTTACACAGAAACTGTAAGAAGAACGTTTTGTTAACTTTTTGTTAGCAATATAAATTGACAAACACAAATGCAGACTAGAACTTGAAACAAAAATAGTCCTTCCCAGAGCAGAAAAACACAGCTGCCAGAAAACTGTTTTTCAAGAAAAACTATGTACCTACTGGTTCTGTTTCTTTTAAAACTTGGCTTCTAGCATTTACACACATACAGATCTACTGCATGTAAGTTTCACAGCAACTTATTTTAATGCTTAATATAGAAAACAGTGTTTCTTTTTCTAAACAAGTTGGGCTGAATTATGATTTATTTTTTTTTTTTTTAATTGCATTTGAAATTTGGTTTTAGTTGGGTGTGTCCCTGTTACATTTTCAAATTCCTGAGATGACTGATGAATTCCTCTCTCCATTGTCAACATGTGTCTTTTCCATTAAGACTGAGCTGCCTTCTCTTTCTCTTAGGAAACTTTCAATGGCTTTAAATAGTATGACCAAAAACATTCAGTGTTTTCAATATTCCATGGTCAATATTCTATGTGTAAAAATTCCAAAATGGAATGGAATTCCAAAATGGAAATAGAAAATTCAGAGCCTACAGGGAGAGATGTTTACATAGCCCATGAGGCCCTGCTTTCCATTGTGGAGTATATTGACTTAGTGGACCCTGAATGCAATATTGCAATCGTGATAATACATATGAGTGGCCTTTAATCTCTCTTACTTGTGCTGTTTTTTAGCTTAGTCCCATGATGAACAGTATCTACCTCCAGTCAAGTGACTGATACCTGCTTAAATGTAAGGAGTAGGTTGTTCTTGGGAGCACCTAAATGCATTTGGTATTGTAGAAAGAAGTGATCACAGTAGTTTCAAAGCTCCATGGCAGCCACATGTTTCATTTTTCATACCTCAGCAACTATGTCTAGCAGGTGTTCATCAGATTATACATGTCCAGTAGAAGAAAGTCAGAATTTCAGTATTTGCACATCTCCTACTGCATTCCAACATCTCTTTTTTTAGAACTATTATTGGAGTGCTTTAGCACTGTGTTTTTGTGCTGTTTTTTCAACCCATTTCTTAGCTTGAGTATTTCTATCTGTCATTCATGGATTCTAGCTTTTGTAACTAGGAGAATAAAATTATATTTGAATATCATAGTTACCATTTATATTCATTATTTCTACATTGCCTGATCCTCTAAAATGAGTATTCATATCTGCATTCTATTCGATGATTCATTGTAAATGACTACAAGTATCCTTTTTTTTTTTCCCTTTTTTCAGCTTTCTCCATTGCCATATAGAAGAATATATGCCAATTCTGCTACAACTCACAAGTACTGTGTTTATTTTTTTTATTTTATATGTTTTAGGAAGTGGAAAGTAAACCGTTTATTTTGTGTTTTGTGTAGTACTTAGTACAGAGAGATCCTGTTCTGCAGCTAGGCTGTGTAAGGAGGAGAGAAAAAATGCTGATGGGGAAAACAATTTTTAATGTTTCTACTAATATTTTGGTATTTTTCTAGTTTATTTTGTAAGTCTTTTCTTTTTAGAGGGATCTCAGTGTGGTTGTATCGTTGCACTGACATGGCTATTCACTGAAATCACTGATTCTTCTCTTTGTATATGGAGATCCTTACCAGGATTGATTGGAATTAGACATCTATGGCAAGATGTGAATAGAACCGGAGCAGATGGAAGAAAATTTCATTTTTAGGAAGGTGTTCTGCTGTGGAGATGAGTTTGTTTTCTCATCTCCCAAGAACAGATTATATGGTTTATTTGTAGACTGAAACTTCAGATTAAAGCATATGTTCACATTTTAAAATAGATAGTCTTTTTCTGGTTTCAGTGTTGGCTTTGTAGTTGTATTGTAGCAGATTCTATGAGTGCTTTAGGATGATGTCTAACACTAACATGTCACAATTCCACTATAACTTGGTAAATGAAGATAGGACAAAATAATTCCCTGGTTAAGTTCTGAGTTCCAGGTTCAGTAATGTTTCCTTCTTTTTCATTCTGTTCTCTTACAGGAAAAATGATATTCATCCAGCATTCCTGAGTAATAAGAATGGGTCCAGATGTACCTCTGCTGAATGATTACAAACAGGAGTTCTTCTTGAAGCGCTTTCCACAAACTGTGCTGGGAGGTCCCCGGTTTAAATTAGGCTATTGTGCCCCTCCTTACATATATGTGAATCAGATTATTCTTTTCTTGATACCATGGGTTTTAGGAGGAGTAGGAACACTTTTGTACCAATTAGGCATTATGAAAGACTACTGTACCGCAGCACTTTCAGGAGGACTGATGTTTGTTACTGCACTTATTCTTCAGATGGCAAATCTATATGCAAAGCAGAAAACAGTGACAGTAGAAAGAATGCAAATTCAGAATACCCTAACAGATGAAGATGAGTTTGAATTTTCCAGCTGTATAGGTTCAGAGACAGTAAAATTTATTATTCCTGGCAAGAAGTATATAATCAACACCGTATTTCATTCCCTTCTGGCAGGGATATTGTGTGGGTTAGGAACTTGGTATTTGCTGCCAAACAGAATAACGTTGCTGTATAGCAACATAGGAGGAACTGTTATGATCTTTGTATTTGGATGGGTCACTATATGTATAGGAGAGTATTCATTAATCATAAATACAGCTACTGAAACAGCTACTTTCCAAGCACTGGATACTTATGAAATCACTGCTCTGATGAGACCTTTCTACATTTTTGTCTTTATTGCAGTGGATCTTGCACACAGGTAAACCTAATACAGCATTTAGCTAATTAGAATATTCCATGTATGTTTGGTGAGAAAAATTACATTATTTTTCTGAGGAAAATTTATTTTGGTATTTTCATCAACTGTAGGAACTCCAAAGAAAGAAGCAAGGAGAGTATATCGTAAAAATTGAGACATTACACTGCATGAGAAGTGGTTCTTAGATTTTTATAGCATTCCGTGTAAATTAGGAAGAGTGGTTAGAGCAGTTTCTAAGTAAGGGACAACTAAAATTATCTTCCACTGTGTCAGTTTCAGTATTTTTGTACCAGAGCATTTGCATAAACATCCTTTTAAAGCATGTGTTTTGAAAACACATGTTGCTGACCTGAAATCATAGATCTGAACACTGCAAACTTCAGGACTACTGGATTTTTATCCAGATTTCATCCTGGAATACTTTCTAATTTAATCTCTGCAAAGTGATTGCAGAGGCTTTTAAACTACAGGCAAAAAGGAGTGTGAATTTGGTTTCAGTGAATGGATAAGCACATGTGAACATTACTGTATCTTTGTTATATGGATTTTGAACTTAGATTTTTAAATGTTTTTGTAATACACAAGAACTATGTCAGTCTACAAATAGGAGACTTTTATATTTCCACTTCTGAGATGAATGTCTTAGATGAAGTATTTGTAGAATCTCTTAAAGCAAAATACTTTTAGATTTACTCTATGCATTCTTTCTCCCTGTCAGGTGATATTTATATCACTTTGTCATATGCATACTTTATGGTTGGGGTACTTCAAATGCATGTTAAAAAAAAAGAATGCATGTTTGGTTTTACTTGGCTTGCATTCAGAGATGTTTTTGTGAATGGTTTACCCTATTTGCCTCATGAATTATGGTCTGAGAAGTATACCCATGGCCTTGGACCCCAAGTTCTTCTATCTAATTTCTTGAGGAGAAAATTAAGACATCATTGAAATTCATGGCAAAATTCCTTTGCGGCTTGCTTATTTATTTATTAGGAAGTAGAGAGAAACCAGATATCTTACCTTTAACTTAATTAGCTAGCAGGTAAACTATGTATGACAATTTATGCAGATCTGTAATAATGATCTTTGTATTTTTACAGGAAGATTCTGATACTTTTATGCAGAAAATAACATTTTATATCCCTAAAGAGACTTTATCCCTTGATGTACTGGCAACATGTCAGTTCTTTCAGTGTTAAGGCTTACCTCTTGGGTCTTGGACTTGCATAAAGTTTCACTTTCATAATTCTGAAAAAATACTGATATTTTTTTTTGTTAAATGGTTGAGGTCTTGGAGCCCTTTCGCAGAAGTATTTCTTGAGTGTATTATCACAAAGTATCAAAACAATTATGATACCTATATCAGGTTATGCAGATGAGTTAAGTGAAGGCTTCAGATCTTTTGAATGAAAAATTACCCTGTGTTCTGGTGTTCTCATTGGCATATTACTGCCCCAAGCATAAACGTGTGTCCTTATTTTTGCTTGTAAAAGATAATAATTGAGGTTTTGTAGATTGAATATGCAATGTTTTTACTTCTGGATTTGCTGTAGTACTTAATCAAAATGTCTTCCCACACATTGGTTATCTTTTCCTTCACAGAAGTCAAATACATTTCTTCTTTTATCCAGGTTTGCTGTCAACGCACCCATTCTAGAACAGACAAACCAGATTTTACACATTGTATTTGTCTTTCTGCCATTCTTATGGGCAATGGGAATTCTGCCCCCGCTTGATGCACTTTTTCTATGGGGAATGGAACAACTGTTGGCGTTCGGACTAGGAGGTTCACCTATGTCAAGTAACACAAAGTAAATGTTGTTTACATAATTGTAAAATATATCAAGATTGTTTATAACCTTTTTCTTTTCAAGCAAATCTTTTTTATTTTCTCCTTCACAGGTTATTAGTAATGTTTCTCATTTCTGCTGGAACAGCAATAGCATCGTATTTCATTCCCAGCACTCTCGGTGTGATCCTCTTCATGACTGGATTTGGGTTCATACTGAGTCTTAACCTAAGCGAGATTGGTTTTGCCTTCAAACACACCATGATCAGCCATTTAGCCTCCAGCAAATCTAAAAATATGCACAGAGGTCTTAGAATACAATTTGGGTGGAGGGAATTCATTTTTTATTTGACTGTGTTGACTTTTGCTCTCATAGAAGCTAGCCTGCTGCATCAGTTTGCAGGCTTTTCATCATTTTCCAAAGGCAGTCCTCAGGCGATAGCAAGTTACATTCTTATCATATTACTTATAATTATGTGGATTCTTAGAGAGATTCAGAGAGTGTACTTGTTTGGAGTCTTCCGAAACCCCTATTATCCAAAGGATGTCAGGACTGTGACTGTGTTCATGGAGAAGCAAAGAAGGCTAATGAAAGTTGGTGTTGTCAGGAGGATTTTGCTAACACTAGGTAGGAATACGCACTGTCTGTTGTTTGTTAGATGATGCTTGTAGGAAGATTGAAACAACGTTAGAATTACTGTATGTGCAAGATTCTATGAATGAACTGAGAAAAAACAAGCAGATGGAAATAATTGTTGATGTTTTGCTAAACTGTGTATTGAGGTCAAAATTACTGGCTCAGAATATTTGAAAGTGGTCAGTGGTATTATTCATTCCTTTTTTCAAGGGTAAGCCTAAAAAGTTGAGCTTTGTAAAAGTCCAGCTCAGAAACTGAGGCCTTTTAAAGGGTTTTAGTTATAAATGACATCAGTACTCACTTGTGAAAAAATGGCTCTTGCAGACCTTTTTAAAAGGCACTTGGAAACAAGTGAGTTGAGAATCTTCAAGGTGACTGAAGACTTGGTTCCTAAACTTACTAGTAAAAAGAACAGTCTTCTTTCCGGTAGGTTAGGGACAAACGTATCTATGTTGGGGGAACCAAGGTTTGATCTGAATCATTTAATTTCATAAAGAAGCACCAGTTTGGGGAAGTGGATTGATGAGTGCTGTTCCCATGTTTGTTGTTTCTCACTTGTTCAAGTCTTCCCATTCTCTTGGGGAAACAAACAACAAGAAAAAAGTAATAGCAAGTAACATTCAAGCATCGATATAAATGTTTGTCATCTCGGGCCATTAGTTCAAATACCCTGTTTGATGTCCTTAAAGTGTAATACAAAGAGGAGTTTGTAATAATGGAGGGAAGAGTCCTCTTTTTTGTGCTAAGATTTCCTTTCTGCAATAAGACTGCTTACCTCTGTATTCTTTAATTATGTTTTTGAAAGGAAATCAGTGATTGTTTTATTTCAATTACAGTGTCTCCGTTTGCTATGATAGCATTCCTGGCACTAGACCGCTCGCTACAGAATCTTCATTCTGTGTCTGTTTGCATTGGATTCACAAGAATATTTAGGATGGTAATTTGAATTTTAAATACGTTAGCCTACAAAATTCTCTTGTATGTGATTTAAGTATTAAGGTGACCTGGAAGAAATATTCCAGGTCATGAAAGCAGAGCTAGATAAATACATTTTTAAATGTATGTCTAATGTATCTCTATTTAGGTCTGGCAGAATACAGAAAATGCCCTAATGGACATAGTGATTGTGTCAGTAACACAAATGTTGGTGTTTAATCCAGACCTCTGGTGGAACAGGAGCCTTGATACAGGAATCAGACTCTTGCTGGTAATTGTCATAATATAAATTTGAGCTGGTAGTTGTCACAGTTGTCATAATGTAAATTTGAGCTGGTGGTTGTCACAGTTGTCATAACGTAAATTTGAGCTGATAGTTGTCACTTACACCCTTTGTTTCCTTGCCCTCCTCATGAAAGAATTACAAAACCTAGCAAATAGAAGCTAAAAACCTGTGTACTGTAAGCTCTATCACCAGTCAGTGATAATCATGCTTAGTTTTCTTAAAACTATTGTAGATAAGGCAGCTTTGGCAGTGCCGAATACATCATGATACTGGATACAAATACACATGCTTATTGTATGTATCTTGCAGGTTGGCATCCTACGGGATCGACTGCTCCAGTTTGTCTCAAAATTGCAGTTTGCCATTGCTATTCTTTTGACATCGTGGACGGAGAAAAAACAACGCCGTCAATCTACTGCCACCTTAATCACACTCAATGTCGTTTTCTTCCCAATCCTGCTGACCTTCATCGCCATCTCTGCACTTCTTTCTTCTCCCCTGCTGCCGCTCTTCACGCTACCAGTATTTTTGATCGGGTTTCCCAGGCCTATCCGAAGCTGGCCAGGACCTGTGGGCGCTACAGCATGTGTTTGCTCCGATACCGTGTACTACCAGCAGATGGTTCCAGGTCTGGCAGTTGCTCTGCAGTCTGCACTAGCAGCCGGTAGCCTAGGTAGGTACACTAGCAACACTGTGACAGAATGTAGCTAAATGTTTTAGGAAACAATTTTGCTGGAGACCAGGATCTGATTTAAACTATGTTTCACAGCATAGGATAAAGCTGATACTCAGAGATTTTTCAGTTGAGGAAATAGTGATTACTTTGATCCTTCTCATATATCTCCATTTGTTACCTTCTTTAGAAAAAAAATAATTCTAGTTTATCATTAATATAAGGAGAAATTAAATGGTGATGAAACAGTATCAATCATAATTATTTTATACAGATCAAAAAAGAATAGTATGTATTCATCCCACCTAATTGGAGGGAATAAATCGAGTTCTGTTGACCAGAGAACCAGGATGTTAAGCCTAAAGAAAAGAAGGCTCAGGGGAGACCTTATCACCATGTTCCACTGTTTAAAGGGTGGCTACAAAGAAGATGGAGACTCCGTTTTTAGAAGGAGTCATATGGAAAAGACAAGGTGAAATGGACTTTCCCAGGTGTAAAGTTATCCCAGGGAGATTTGATTTGACACTAGAGGAAAAATTTTCACAATGAGAACAATCAGCCATTGGAATCATCTCCTCAGGGAACTGATGGATTTCCCAACACTGGACATTTTAAGGTTTGCTGGACTGAGTGCTGGGACATCTAGTCTAGGTCATGCTTTGCCCAGAGAGGTTGGACCAGATGATCCTTGAGATCCCTTCCAACCTGGTACTCTAGGATTCTGGTTCTTAGACAAGGGGCAAATATCTACATAAGCCTCTTAGAAAATGGCCCATGACTAGAAAAATGGACTAATACTTGAAGGCAGTGGAAGTTAACCTTAATGACATCTTTCTGAAGACTGGTGTCGAGAAAGGTGTTAAAAAATAAAGCTAATGTTAAATAAAGCTGATGTTAAAAAATAAAGCTAAGAAGCTGTTTTTCCTCTAAAGAAGAGAGACACTTCAGTTTGTCTACTACATTGGCCTATGTATGGTTTTTACATATATATATATTATATATGTTTTATCTATA